CCCGCGTCTCCTGCATCGGCAGGCGGACTCTCAAGCACTGCGCCACCAGGGAAGCCCGAAAACAATGGTTTTTAATCTTTAAAGAAACTTTTTTGGAGGACAGTGTCACAGACAGTTTGAAAATAGAACGTAAGCTTTGGACCCTTTCCCTGGAAAAATGTATATACACACAGTCTGGTATATAATTTCAGCAGGCTCACCAGCCCGTTGAATACCCTTGATGGTCTTTCCGGGATCCCACTGACCCTAACTAAAGAATCAATGTCTACTGTATTTTATCATTTAAAAATGTCTATTATGGTAGTTTTACTGAAATGCCCTTTATGTAGTAGAGTCTATAAAGATAATCCTTGGAGAAACAGGACTATTTAATTGAAAGTCACTGTCAGTCTCTCCTTTGTCTGTTGCCTCTGTTAAGATCAGCAGGGTATATACCCCACTACCACAGTGGTTTATATGAGAGATCCCAATGCAAATTGCAACGAAAACCTCATAAAACAGACTACAAGTAAACGTGCCTTGGCTGGAGACTGAAAGCAGCAATGGTCTTTCTAATTACAGAGTGTGAGGCCGAATTTGAGCCAAAGTATTTGCAGTGCCTAAAGTAGCAAGGCCACTGACCCTATAATACTTCCCACAGTGAGTGTACGTGTGGTTTCATCTTCAACTCGCAGAGTCTGTCACTGTCCACTCTCTTGAGACTGTCTTTTTTTTTTTCATGTAAGAAACTGTAAGCCCTAGATGGATATTCTTCTGTTTTGCAATTGTCAGTGTTAGTCAACATAACTGCTTGCAGTATTCAAAGAGTTTCACATTTTGTCAGAACATGGAGTTTTAACTCAAAAGGTTGTGACCTAGAAAAATTCATTTATCTGGCATCTTCAAGCCATGAGCTATTAAAATTAACAAAATTTTTTACGTAACTGAAGTTTGAAGTACCCCAGTTCCCAGGCCATTTAAATTTAATCATTTCTGGGGCTTCCCTGGTGGCGCAGTGGTTGAGAATCTGCCTGCCAATGCAGGGGACACGGGTTCGAGCCCTGGTCTGGGAAGATCCCACATGCCGCGGAGCAACTGGGCCCGTGAGCCACAACTACTGAGCCTGCGCGTCTGGAGCCTGTGCTCCGCAACAAGAGAGGCCGCGACAGTGAGAGTCCCGCGCACCGCGATGAAGAGTGGCCCCCACTTGCCACAACTAGAGAAAGCCCTCGCACAGAAACGAAGACCCAACACAGCCAAAAATAAATAAATAAATAAATTTAATCATTTCTCAAAGAAATCTTTATAAAATGTTTTAGGCAGGCCATTGCCTTTCAAAACCAAGTATACCGAGTGGAACTAAATCACTCTTAAACGTCCGGATCTTAGTTCAGAATCTTGATTAGTGCCCTGTGTAGTTATGTGGCGATACTTTTAGAAGCTGTAGAGTCATTGAGGCAAAACAATTCTACAGTGCTAGGGCTTTTGCATATTTTTAATTTTTGGTTATATAAATATATTTTTTCATATACACGCATATATAATTTTTTCCCCCCTGAAATACTATGGCATTCTCTTTTTTTTTTTTTTGCGGTACGCGGGCCTCTCACTGCTGTGGCCTCTCCCCTTGCGGAGCACAGGCTCCGGAAGCGTGGGCTCAGCGGCCGTGGCTCACGGGCCCAGCCGCTCCGCGGCACGTGGGATCCTCCCGGACCGAGGCACGAACCCGTGTCCCCTGCATCGGCAGGCGGAGTCTCAACCACTGCGCCACCAGGGAAGCCCCATGGCTTTCTCCTTTTGCCACGGTTTCCGAGACTACCTCTAATAATCTATCTATAAATGTACTTTGTTACTTTTATTATTCCAAAGATGGATAAGCCATACGTCATTCCTGCTGACTCCTGGGTTTTGGCCTTAGTTTCAGATTGCCACCTTGCAATGGGCAGTGCTGCTCAGCTTAATCAATGAAATCAATCTATACATTTTTAAAGGGATCTACATCTTTATGTCATGGTTATTTTAACAAAAGCATCATACATTTTAAAAAAATTCAATCTACTTCGAATGCAGTAAAAATCATCAAAAGCCATTTTGAAAAATGGACGTGTCATATATTCATTTTTTGAAAACATGTTTTCATCTCTCAGATTATTCATGGAAAAGACAAATGCATTTTATATATTATTAAGTTGTCAATAATATCATAATTTAAAATTATTAGTCAAAAGAGTGAAAATAATTTTACATCTTTGGAAATGATATCTGCTAAAGGCTCTATTGTTATTTAAATTGAGGTGCGTAAGTGACATTCACCATTTATTGATGCAATTACAAAACTTCACCAGGATTATTTCGTCCCTAGTTTTATTTTAATTTTATTACAAAATATAATTTTCATATGGGATATATCTTACCAAGTCTCACCTCCTCCACCACGACTACTCTCATCACATGGTTTTACCTCTTAACGATAATACAATTGCTTTCTCAGTGGTGTCCCTATTTTAACTGCACCCCCCAGTACTCCCTTAAACTACTCTCCACACAGCAGCCAATGATTCTGTTAGAACTTGAACCAACTCTCACATCTTTTCCCCAAACGCTCGCTGACCTCATCTCATTGAATAAGTATTTTTCGAGTGACTTCTCTGTGCCAGGTTCTGTTTTAGGTGTTTGCAATAATCCAGTAAACAACTGAGACAAAGATCTCTGAACTTACCAAGCTTAAATTCTTCTAGGAGGAGACAGATAAAAAATAAAAATAATAAATAAATTACAATAGTCTGTTAGAGGTGTTAAGTGCTAGCAGATAAAATAGGAAGAGCAAGGTGAGGGGGATTCAGCATTGGGAGATGAGGGTGTGAGTGTTGTTATTTAAGATTGGGTGACCAGGGTAATTCTTGATGAGAAGGTGAGAGAAGAAAGAGATGAGGGAAGATATGTGGGGGGAACAGTGCTTCAGGAAGAGGGAACAGCCA